CACCAGTGTTGCAAGAGATGGACACACACACACACACACACACACACACACACACACACACACACAAAAAAAACGGGTTAAAGTATCTGAAGTCCCAGAAATGATCAATCTTTAATCATTTACTCACCTTCATGTCTTTCAAACCTGTACGAGTTTCTGTGAATCACAAAAGATATTTGGACACGTCCATACAGTGCAAGTCAATGGGGTCCAAAGTCATTTGGCTCCCAGTGTTCTTCAAAATACCTTCCTTTTGTGTTCCTCAGAAGAAAGTCACGCAGGTTTGAAACGACAAGCGAAATGACCTAATTCTGGATGAACCATCCCTTTAAAACCTATTCCACTGAAGATTAAAACAAAAACCATATGACAGGCTGATTCAATTATGTTTTTATGAAGAAAATCTATTACTGTTGATCAATTTGACCAAATAAACACACGACTGAAATATTAGTGCAAAAGTGTAAATAATAGATAAACTCAGTGAGTTCGTGGCTTGTATGCAATACTCCAGCATCAGCTTTACTAACAGACATCATAAACCCAGAGGGATTAGACAGATTTATGATTAATATTTCATGCGTTTGCTCAAAGCCAGACCGCTTCAGAGGGATGTTCTACTTCCTGTCCTGAGACTCAGCTCTCAAACCAGACCGACCATAAACCACCACTGACTGATGATAACATCATGATATAGACAAGAAAACCAACTCAAACTAGACCAGACCAACCATAAACCACCACTGACTGATGATAACATCATGATATAGAGACTCAAACCAGACCAGACCAACCTTGACTCATCATCACTGACTGATGATAACATCATGATATAGACAAGAAAACCAACTCAAACTAGATCAGACTAACTTGACAGACATCAACATAATATAGAGATGAAAACCATCTCAAACTAGACCAGACCAACTATAAACCACCGACAGACATCATGATATAGAGATGAAAACTATGTCAAGCCAGCCCCAACCCATCATGGACAGAAGTTAAAATGATAATACATGAAAACCATCTTAAACTAGACTAGACCAAACCTCACCTGTACCAACAGAGAGATGAAAATCATCTCAGACCAGACCCATCACTGACAGACATCAACATGATAATATATAGAGATGAAAACCATCTCAAACCAGACCAGACCAGATACTGACCCATCGCTGTGGGACTTTTCCTAAACTAAAGATCTTTTCCTCCCAACTCTAGTTGTGTCTGATTTGAGGTCAAACGACCCCACAGCACTTCCTCGCGCCTGCATGGGTTAACCAGTTCAGCTGGTTAGTCCTGACACTTCACAGCTCCAGCCAACTACATATAGAAAATCCCATATTGGAGAAATTATTCACAGAAAACGGCTCAAGCGTGATGATTCAGATGGGAAGGGAATCGTGATCACACTCATTCGCTCTGGTGTTCACGCGCTGTCAGATACCATGGTATTACTATGGTACATTTCTCCACCATCATCACTGCAGCAGTATTTCTCAACAACACAACCTTCAGCGGACTGCACTCAGACTAAACCACAGCAGATGTTAATATCACACAGAATAAGAAATAATCCCATCGCGTCACATCCTCCTCCTCCTCCTCAGTGCAGATGTTGCAGCGGTGTTTGATGCAGATCGACTACGGATCGCCGCTGCACTCATTCACTCACCTTCAGCGCCGAGCATCGGTAAACACGCGTCGAGCGGCCGTCGGATTCAAACTCCAGTGTCGCGATGTGAGCGGCGCGTCGGATCGGATCATTCACATGCCGCGCTTGTCCTCCAGTCCGCTGCTGCCACGCGCGCGCCGCAGGTTTCCGCACGGAGCGTCAAACTCGCGTCATCGCGATCGATCATCAGTAGTGTTTGAGAGACTTCACAGATGAAAACAGATCAATACTGATATTTAACGTTGCATATAATAATAATACATATACATATAATACAACAGACCCATTAATAAATAATCCAGGAATATATAATAAATAATTTAGGAATTAATCAATAGCTTTTTTTGATGCTACAGATACAATATATATAAAAAAAACGAATAATATAATTAATAATGAATATCAACAATAACCATTGTGTTACCGCACACATAATGTGCAAATGAATAATAATCAAACTTTTGTCACTGCTGCAATTATAAAGTGAGCAACAAACGGTAATTTATAGTAAAAATAAACATTAAACCAAAAACATTGTCTCAAATTATAAAATGATTAACCAATTATAATTAATAGTACAAAATAAAAATTCATCAACGACCATTTTTTGTCTTTACTCAAACTGTAAAGAGTAACAAATTACTTATTATTAATATAAAAAAAATGTAATCGACCATTTTTGTTATAACACAATTTGAGTAATTATAATTGATAGTACAAATGAATATTAATCAATAACCATATTTGTCTCTACTATTAAAATTGTAAAAAGTGTAACTAACATTTTTTATGGTAAAAATTATTTTTATTCAATAACCATTCTTGTGAGCACTTAATAAAATTAGCAACTTTTAATAGCAATAATGAATATTAATAAATAACCATTCATCACCACACAAATTACAAAAAGTGAAACTAATTATTGTTAAAACTAAAAATGAATATGAACCAATAACCATTTCACCACACAAATGACAGCTGAGTAACTACTTATTAATAGCAATAATTAAACATAACCTTTTTTGTTACTAAACAATTATATAATAAAATATTTAAACAATAACAAATGTTAGATATTACATAACTGATTATTATTAATCTAAATAAATAGGCATATACGATATATTTCAGTAACAAACATCTTCAGCAGGCTGTGTTTCATAGGTCCTGAGTGCTGATTGTGAAGTCAGACAGACAGACAGACACCCGTCCAACCCGACTGACACACACTATTAAGGAAAGCATCATTTGTGTGTGTGTGTGTGTGTGTGTGTGTGTGTGTGTGTATTAAGGATACAGCATGTGTCTGCTTGAGCTCTCAGAGGGAGGAAGATGTCTTAGTGACTCTTGTATAGCCTCCATCCTCATCCTCAGATCATCAGGAGGAGAAAGAGCACAACACTGAACAAACACACACACA